ATACTAGTTTTGTTATTAGGATTAGCAAAGACGTGATTTATCTGAAAGTGATTAACTTTGGGCCGATGGTAAATTGCTTTTTCTAGACTCTATTTGGAAGATCATAAGTTTGTATGTGTTTGCATTAACACTTCTTTAAAGTGATGAGGGATATATATCTTCTTGTGACTATAGGTGCCTTATTATCTTGCGGAGTTGACGGAGAAAATCATACAGGAGGACCGTATTCAGATTGTCAAGGCCTCATATGCAAAGTTGAAGCTGAGTTTTCTGCTGAGTGTTTGCAGGTTGTTGCATCCATTTGATGCTAGTGCTAATAGGAATATGCATTTGGTTGGATTTCTTTAGATTGATGTATAGTCTTTTATTTGTGTCTAGGAGTTCTTTTCGTTCTGTGAGGCAATGGAACTTGTTCCAGATGAGGAGTTGGAGGCTTCTTCACGAAGTTCTGGTGCACCTGCAGATCGAAGGGCTTTGAAGGTAGATTTAGCCCTGTTTCTTTAGTTTATATCCTGACAAGAATGAAGTTTAAGGTTTTCGGATTTTGAAATCTGTGTTGTGTGTTCATGATTTCGGTACTTTGTAGATAGCTCGGTTCAAACGTCAAAAGGCTGCAGAGGCAAAGCTTCTTGAAATTAAAGAGAGAAAGGAGCGACGTGGACGTTCCACTAAAGCATCAGCTTTGTCGACTCCGGTTGAATCTGGAGAAGAAGATATTCCAGATGATGACAGCGAAAAAAGAGAGAGAGGTTTGTCCCACTTTTTGTTTGGCTGCTTTCTCTAATTCGATTTTCTTCTAAACCTTGTCTTATGGCTTTTCTCTGCAGGCCTGGCTCTCCTCATGTTTCTTCCATATCTGTTTCGCCTTTTGTCTATGATGATGATCACTTAACAAACCATTTCTCAGTTCCTTGCGTAAGACTCCATTGTTACCATTCCCACATACATCAACATTCTTCTCTGATATCTCCTTGATCGAACCAACCTCACACGGATCTTCTCCTTTTGCTTCATTATGCAATCTCTTCTTCTTCTTCAACGCCTTCAATGGCTTCCCCAAAAGTGGCATCAAAGCAGCTCTTCTTCCTTTAGATGAGTCAATACTCGGATTCCGACTCTCTCTCGCTACGCTCCTTGGTGATCCAACCAAATCCATGTCCAATTCCAAATCAACAACACCAACAATCTCCGCGAAAACTGGATCAATCTTCAATTGAAGACAGTGCGAAACCGGATTAATCAACGTTTCAACATCAGATCCACCGTCATTAATCAGATCTTCAATAGCTGATCTCAAACGATTCAAAACCCAGAATGATTCAGGTTTCTCCATACTTTCATCCAAAATCGCGAAATAAACAAACGAATCATCATCGATTGCGAATGTGTACGTCTTCTTGTGAACTGTATGAGAGAACATTGAATGATGTGGAGGCGTGTTCTCGATACATCGTAAAGCTACAGCTTCGATTCCTGGCTCTTCCTTGGAAACGAACTCAGCGAGAACTACGGTTCCTTTCGCAATGCAAGTGTAAGACAATAAACTTGGATTTGAAATCATCCTTCCAGGCCCGGCCCGTCCGTAAAGAAGGTAAAGCACCCGCTTTAGGCCACACAATATATACTAAATTTGAAGGCCACATTGTCAAATGATTTAGTTAGTCTAGTGGTTAGTAGCCCAACAGTTATTCTCCATAATACATGTTCGATCCTTCTTTTTGACAATATTTGCTTTTTTTTTCTCTAGCATTCTAAAAACTTAGAAAGATTCATTTTCATAATAATTATTTTAATAACAAAGGCCACATAATTTAATTATGCTTTAGGCCACTTACAATTAAGGACCGGCCCTGCATCCTTCTGTATACAGATTTCAATGGAGATTCAAAGCAAAATTCAAAGAGAAACAAAAACAGAGATCATTAGGTTTTGCATTCGGATTCTCTCGTAATCGCAACAAAGATAAAAATGCTGCGATCTCGATCGGATCAGAGAAGGAGATATGTGCATTCGGATTTATCATTAGTCTAATCACTGACACGTGTAGTTGAATTCTTATATGTTACTTTGTATGGTTTCAACTTTCAAATAAGAGGTTTTGCATGTTCGGAACAATTAAATAATCATAACAAAATTCGATTGTTTTATAGAATAGTAATTTCTATATATAACATATTATACATAGAATATTATGGTCAACTTTTTTTAGGTTACTTACTAAATTATTAAATTTTTTATGGTCATAAAGCTTCATTTCTATTAATACAACTGCCAACTCACCTTTCAAATCATCAAATGGGCAATTAAATTTGTTTAAAAAAGTATAAAAAGTTGGCAGTTGGACTTTAAGAACTTTTAAAAAAATCTTAGCAACCACAGCAAGGATGGTGAAATAAAGAAAACAATATGAAAGAGAGGTAGTTAAACGCATCACAAACGTGTTGAAAGCCTTGAAAGATTCTTATAAATAGAGGCAGAGCATAATATCAGTAAATCATCTTAAGCATTAAATCTCTCTCTCTCAACAAAAAAACGATTTATTCTCTCTTTCTACACCCCCGCGACTAATATGTTGCAGGTTCCTATCTTCCGAAAAATCTTTAGGCTCAATCGCGGCAAAGGCTCTGCCCATGCAGCTGGGGATGCGTCAGGCGATTCTGAAGCTGCAGTTGAGAATGCGCCACCCGATGTGGAGGCAGGTCGTGTTTTCGTCAGTACTGATCGTCGGAGATCGTTGAAGGTGAGTACTTTCTTTTCCACGCTGAATGATTCATTCATCTCGTGAGAGATTCTTGTTTGATATAGCACCATGGCACTTACAGGGTACCTTGAGGAAAGTATACCGTCTAATTAAAAGCACGTGGAAGAGTAACAGAGCACATGCCGAATCAGCAGTAAGCAGAAATGCTCTCAATTTTGTTAAAATGTGTTTCCTCTAATCTTAGATTTTTTTCTGTGATTAGTCTGTACATGCCCACCCACAAGCAGAAGAACAACAAACCGGTAATTTTTACTGTTCGTTATCTTTTTTTTTTTTTTGGTTTCACCCGCCAAATCGGATTTTGTTGGGTTGGTTAATTCAATTCGTTGGTTTTCTCATCCCTACTCGGATTGAATTGGACAATCATAAAATTATAGTTCCCGATTCACGAGGATTTAATTTCGATTATCTTTTCTTCTGTGTTTTTTTTTTTACTTTTTACCCAGAAATTTCAATCGGAGTAACTACAGCCTCAACTTCTGGCGGGTTTGAGTTTGGATCGAACAATCTCGCTCAACTACTCAAAGATCGTACCCTTGAAGCTTTGAATCGATGTAAAGGGGTAAGCGCTTCTGAAACTTTCTTTCATCGTTTCGTCTTTTGGGTCAATGAATTCTGATTTACGCCTTTGATGATACCTAGGTTCCAGGATTAGCAACTCTGTTGAAGACTGACCTGGGAAAGGGAATCGATGGGCACGACGATGATCTACTGCACCGTAGGCAGATATTTGGGTCAAACACATATCCCTGCAAAAAGGGAAAGCGTTTCTGGGTATGAACAAATTAGACAAGAACGTTTTAGGTTACAAATTATTGTTGTGGCAACGCTTTTTCAATTTTATTTCCATTGGTTGTTGTAGCGCTTTATCTGGAAAGCTTGCCAGTTTCCTCCTTCTCTGCTTATCACGCTTGCTGCTGTGATTCAATCGCTTCTGAGAATCAAAAGAAAGGTCAGTTTTTTTTCTCTACAAGTTGCCTTTTTTTTTTATTCTTTTCTACTTGTGTTTGACATTAGGATTAGCTGCTTATGAATTTCTGTCTCAGATTCATTGTTTTGTTTAGCCACATATATATATATATATATATCATGTGGCTCTCTTTAGGTGTTGCTTTTTGTCTTTTAGATTTTGGGCTCTGCAGTCTGAACTTATTTCCTGTATCTATCTCACCCTCTCTTGCCACTTGCAGGCTATCGATGACGGATGGTATGAAGAACCGTGCGTCGTGTTGTTAATTATACTTGACATCATTGTGAGAGGTATTGTAGTAGTATATTTGATGCTCTTGGAGTTGCTTAGCTAACTTATATATATATATATATATATATATATATATATATATATATATATATATTTGTCTTAGTACGTACATCAATTCTCAGATGAGAGAATATGGAAACAATCTGAATTATTTTGTTTGTCTTCCATTTTGCAGCTAGCACCGAGTACTGGCAGTCTCGTCAGTTTGAAAAGTTGACTAAGGAGAAGAGAAACGTACACTTATATGTGTGTTCCTGCAGACAGTTTTTTTTTATTCATTTGTGTATGTTGTTGTTACCCACAATTTGTGATGAACGTTTTTCGTCACAGGTGACTAGAGGTGGAGGAAGCGTCTGGGTTTCTATTTATGATATTGTTGTGGGCGATATTGTACCCCTCAAGAATGGTGGTCAGGTAAGCATCACAGCTTTTAATAGTATTAATTAGTTAATTTGTTTATCTTGAGCTTCAAAATTGGTCTGAAGTTTGATCAATGCTGTAGGTACCTGCAGATGGTGTCCTGTTTGTTGCTAACTCACTGAAGATTGACGAGCAAGAAATAACTGGCACACCGGGCATTGTATGATTTACCCCTGTTGATGAGCTGTATCATTATCTCTCCTGTTTTTCTAATCTATCGTTACAATCAGCAGGTTCAAAAAGATCTTCAAAAGGATCCATTCCTATTATCTGGTTCAAAATTGATAGAGGGCATAGGTACAATGCTGGTAAGCTCTCGAGCTACGTCTCTTAAATTTCGTTTTATGTTTGAGTCAAACTGTTTGACACATCCATCTCATAAATATTATTGCTGCTTTTAGTAAAGATGAGTTCTATGTTGGCAGTGATAAGTCACGATGAAAAACATAACTTTAAATTTTTACACCTTGTGGGAAAAGCTAGCTTTCTTGAATGGTTAAAGGAGATGTACTGGTTTCTTGAACCCAAGAATCTGGCTTGTTGTAGTATATTTCTGCAACTTGCAATTTCTATGGTTTATGTATGTAAGTTTGTCACAAGAGTGATCGATATTTCTGTTATTCTGAACACTGTTCTATCATTGGATACTTCTAAATATAAATTAGTTTGGCCGGAATAAATAAATTTTCTTCTTTATCCAACAGAAGATCAGCTTCCGTGCTTGCTTTCTCTGTACATGGTTCTTGATCTTCTAATTCACTTTATTTTTTCCCATGTATTTAAGGTTACAAGTGTTGGAAAGAATACCCAATGGGGGAAGATGATGGAGACTGCACATGAGACTGATGAAGAAATGCCCTTTCAGGTCTGTTTTATTGAACACTAATTCCATGCTGACTATGATAGTTTGCGCATTTATCAACTGTGATCCGTTTAACTAGGTATACTTGAAATGGATTACAAATTCTGCCAGCTGCTTAGCCGTTTTGTTTGCTTTAGTTGCCTGTATTGTTCAGTTATGCCGGTAAGTCTGTCTTTTTTTTACGATGTACCCATTAACGTGTATGTTCTGCATTAAGATCCATCTTAGCAATGATGACCTAACAACCCTTTTAATTCCAGATACTTTTATGGTCAGACCAAGAAAAAAGATGGAAATCCGATGTTTATCCTCGGAATTACCACTGCCAATGAAGCAACAGAATTTGTGCTCAAATCCCTGAGTTTTGGGGTACAGAAATGCTGAACTTTATCTTTGCGGCTAGAGTAATGGTATTTTTTTAACATTGTCACAAAAAAACATGGATTTTGCAGATCGCGACAATAATAGTGGGAGTGGCTGTTGGACTTTCTATAGCCGTGCTCTTGAAGTAAGTCTCCTTTCCTTTTGAAAATTTGTTTAATAATATACATACCAGAGTAAGCCTTGGGATACCTAGGTTTCTGGTAAGTGTGGCAAAGTAGTCTGATATTATGGTTGCACACTCTATTGCTATGCAAAGAGTGGCATAATCTTAAGTATGCATACTTCTAGTTTTGTCATTGGAGTTTATTTTTTTCTTACCATTAGATTTACTTATTCCTGTTTCTCATCATTTTATTTTCCTCTTACATCAGCCTTGCAATTACAGCGAGAAAAATGCTGACAGACAACGCTTTGGTACTCTACTTTTATATTCCAAATTCTTCAACATCGTTAAATCATCAACATGTACTAAACTTCATTAAATTTCTTTCAGGTGCAGAGACTTTTTGCATGTGAAAGAATGGGACAAGTTACAACCATAGTCTGTCATAAAACTGGAGTTTTAACTTTGAATGAGGCAAACGCTTTCTTTTATATGCAATCAGCTGCTTCCTTTGTTTGTTCCTGATTACCCATTTAAGCATTTATTTTCTGCTAAGCAGATGTCGGTGGTTGATGTCCGGGCTGGAGAAATAAGAATGCAGGATATGGATGGTGGTTCACAGTTGCCCACATTACTGAATGAACTAATCATAGAAGGCATTGCCCAAAACACAAATGGCAGTGTTGTTCTTGAAACGGTAAATGTGTCCTGGATCACAGTGTTGAGATGGAAAGAAACTATTTGATTAGATTCCTGTATTCTGATTATTTTTATATAAATTATTCTTAATAAGTTCTTATTTATAGGGAGTCTCAGGAAGAGAACAAGCCATGCTTAGCTTCGCTGGGAATAAGGTTTAGTTTCTTTCTAATCTTACATTACTACTTGCTATAGGGGTATTAAGTTTATAACTAATGACTGTTAGTTACTTCTATATGTAGTTGGGAATGAAATTTGACGATGTTAGGTCGGCATCATTAGTCCGTCATACTATACCATTCAACCCAGACAAGAAATATGGAGGCGTGGCATTAGAGGTAACATTACCTTTTCTATACATATCTCCCTATTTTCACTTGACACAGAGATATTCCGGGCCAGCTTTGTAAGAACTGTCGAGAATTTTTTACGACTGTAAATCTGTCTGCATATTTTATGCTATGTTTGATTCTTATATAGGTGCTTTTCTTCTTATTATTCATATCTAGCTTAGTACACGAGCCCACCTTCATTGGAAAGGATCTGCAAATATTATTCTGAATTCATGCGAAAAGTATATAGATGGGTCCGACAACCCCATAGCTATTGATGAATTGAAACGAAAGGTTTATTTCTGAGTTTAGATGACTACTCACAGATACACTATTATTTATTTTTCGTATTTTTTTTTTTAATATGAAAATCCGTTCTCTCTTAAGGATTTTGAAGAAACAATTAAAAACATGTGTATGAGAGGATTGCGTTGTGCTGCACTTGCTTATCGACCCTATGAACTGGAAAAGCTTCCAACCATTGAGGAGCTTTCTACACTATCTAGTCTACCTGGAAACCTTGTTTTGTTGGCTATTATTGGTATAGAGGTACCATTTCCAGCACTCATTCTAAACCTCAAGTTTGTATCAATGAGTATTGGTACCAGATTCCACTTTCTTCAAAGCCCAAATGTCTTTGTATTATCATTACTTATACATTTTTTGGAATAACGTGCAGGATCCTTGCCGCCAAGGCACAAAGGAAGCAATCCAACTGTGCAAATCCATAGATGTTAAGGTGCCATGTTCGCTTTTTTAATTTTACTGTTATACTACTGTGATACTGACCATTTTACCTTCAGCTGCGATATTTTCTTGGGCCAATCCCTTTTATTTGTCTACTTTCTAAGTGAAAGATGTTGAATTTCAGGTTTGCATGGTGACGGATGATGACGTTTTGACTGCAACAGCTATAGCAAAGGAATGTGGCATATTTGATGAGGCATCTGACGGTAATATCACGACAGGAGCTGAATTTCGTAATCTTTCCAGTCTAGAAAGAACGCAGCGCGCCGAATACCTCTTAGTATGAATTCATTTTTCTATATCTATGGTTTTAACATATAAATTCATCTGTGCACATCATGATACATCTTTGAGTGGGATCATGGGATAAGATAATTGGATTCAGTATCGGGTGTCACACTGTGACATCTTGCTGAGTGAACTTGTTGTACTCCTTATATATTGATGGGAAACTAACTTTGTTGGTCAGATTGCTATTTTGGCATAAACTTCTTATAGGTCTATATTACCCGACTGGGTCAAGACCTGGATTGAGCGAAAAATTAACACACTATACTCTATGTGAAGGTTCTTGCTCAATCTTCTCCCAGAGACAACCTTCTGTTTGTCAAAGCACTGAAGGAAAGAGGACACGTAGTTGCAGCCACTGGGATGGGAATACATGATTCAGAGACACTAATGGCGGTCTGTAGTTATCATATTAAAACTCAAAAACTCGTCACACTCTTTCAAAGAGAATATAAACTCTAAACAATGAAAGACATGTCTATCATAATTACAACCCACAATTCATCTTTTCCTTGCCACAGGCGGATGTAAGCCTTGCAATGGGAATTCGAGGAACCGCAGCAGCAAAAGAAAAGTCAGATATTATTGTATTGGATGACAAATTTGCTACGATCGTCGAGGTTAGTTGATTATATCCATGGTTGAAATGACGAACCTGGGCAGGTAGCATCTTATAGAATGCATGCAATAATGATGAGCAAACCTTGACCTTTTGGCAACGAAATTTCGTTTCAATCATTTTGATTGTGCCAGTAAGATGCTAGAAGCTTGTTTTGGATAATACAGGTTATACGATGGTGTCGATATCTATACACAAATATCCAGAAGCATGTCCTATTTCGGCTCACTGTCAGTGTATCAGTCGTTGCTATCTGTGTTGTTGAGGTTGTATTTTATGATGCATTTCCACTCAATACCGTTCAGGTTCGAAAATGTTATCCCTTTGTTACTTCATCGTCTTGTAATCCAGTTTATTCACGACGGAAAACCTTTTTCCTAACCCATTTTCGCTTTCCCTGATGCAGCTTCTGTTGCTTAATCTTATCATCGACATCTTTGGAGCATTATCGTTGGTATACAGACCACCAGCAAACCATCTAATGGCAAAACCACCGGTTGGTATAAGGTACAAAATCTGAATAGGATCAAGGAATCAGATTTGATTGATAAGTCAATATATAGTTGTCTTAAAAAGAGATTTTATTGCATCGGTGCCAAAATCCTATCTATTCAATGTGGATATACAAAAACTGATCATACATTTATATACCTTTTTTTTGGTTTTGTGTTTATTCAGAGACCCTCTTATAAATAAGACAATGTGGGCCAAGTTGGTGCTACAGGTATGTTGCTTAAAATCCTTGATTTTTCATGTGTGAACACTAATGTCCGAGAGAATCTTATACTCCGTCAGTTTTCAGTGAGCAGATACAACTGGGAGACCTTTTATTAATGCTTATGTAACTCTGTCATGAAATACCTTCCTGCAGGTGATTTACGTATTGCTGTTTCTGGCGGTCATAAATTCTGAGAAGATACTGAAGCTGATGCATGGTCATAATACCAGTAATGCCGAAAAAGTGAAGAACACATTTATATTCAATTGCTTTATTTTCTGCCTGGTAATTTCTTTTGTTTATCGTTCATCTGAGAATAAGTTGATCATTCCTGTCTGCTTCTATTTTTGAATCCCCTTTTCGATTTTTTTTTTTTAAATTGCAGGCTTTTGGTGAGTTCGAAATTGGAAGTCTAGACCGAACCTTGAAAGAAATCCTTAGAGATAATATGTTTGTTATTACAATAGCCTCGACTATTGTATTTCAGGCAAGTCCTCTGTATAAGTTCACACAACATTTATTTTCTTTTTCTCTTCTTACATATCCTTACACCATAATATATACTTTCTTTTTGTTCCTTTTATATCAGATCATCTTTATAGAGTACATGATCGTCTTCATCTCTCCCGTTAAGCTTGACTGGTAACAGTGGCTGTTGTCCATTTTTTTGGGATTGATCAGGTTCTGCTCATGCCGATCCTCAACTAGTTTATATACTGTTTACTATTCATTTTTTAATAAAAATATATACTTAAACTGTATCAGCCAGTTCGCCACTCACTATCCTCTCCAAGCTTTTCAATAT